AGAAATCCTTTCTCTTCCTTCCTTCCTTCCTTCCTTCCTTCCTTCCTTCCTTCCTTCCTTCCACCCTCCCTCCCTCTCCCATCTCTCTCCCTTTCTCTCTCTTTCTTTCTCTCTTCTTTCTTTCTTTCTTTCTTTCTTTCTTTCTTTCTTTCTTTCTTTCTTTCTTTCTTGCTCTCTCCTCCCTTCCTTCCTTCTTTCCTTCCTTTCTCTCTCCCTCTTCCATCCCTCCCTCCCTCCCTCCTGTCTTCCTTCCTTCCTGTCTTCTTTCCTTCTTGTCTTCCTTCCTTCCTTCCTTCCTTCCTTCCTTCCTTCCTTCCTTCCTTCCTTTCTTGTTCTCTCCTTCCTTCTTTCATTCTTTCTCCCTCCCTCCCTCTTTCCCTCCCTCCCTCCCTCCCTCACTCCTTCCCTCCCTCCCTCCATCTCTCTCTTTCTCTCCCTCTTTCTTTCTTTCTTTCTTTCTTTCTTTCTTTCTTTCTTTCTTTCTTTCTTTCTTTCTTTCTTTTCTCCTGTCTTTATTCTTGAGCTACCCAATAAAAGAATCTGTGACAGATTTCACACAAGTTGTGCCAAATTTAAAGTCATTTTATCTTTACATCTCCGAGAACTTGTTACTTTCTCTCTTTCCTACTTTAGGAAAAGGTGTCAAAAAACCCTATAGTCTAACAGACTGGAAGTTATCTTGGTTCTCCTTAACTCATCCCCCTCATTTCCACATAGTGTTTCTCCCAGTGATGCTCAGGGGACCACATGCTCAGGAGACCAGATAGTGCTAGGGATTGAATTGAGGTCAGCTGCATAGAAGGAAGGCTCCTTCACCCATTCACTGTCTCTCCAGCCCTCATTCCCATATCTGACCTCTCAGGAAATCCTGCCAATCTGTTAAGTTTCTCTCAGATCACTTCTATTTTCCATCTCTATCACTCTTGTCGAATTATTACAATAGTTTCCTAAATGCAGTAGCCATTGAAAAGCATTCTTCACCTGGCATGACACTAAGAAGGAGACCAAGGCACTGATCAATAAGAATGAAGAGCAGTTTTAGACCGTGCTTATCAACTGTCTTTTAACCCTTAACTGATGGATACCATTGCCTTCAATAATCATCCCCTGCAATGTGTGGCCCACACTGTTGTTATTGTGTCTCTGCTTGAGATCAATTCCTTTAATAGCTTCCCATTAGATGCATCACAATCCTAGCAGATAAAGTCTAACTCTCTGACATGGCAGACACTGTTTTCTTTTGGACCAAGTCCCCTTGCAATTCATAAAATTTTAGTCTCTAGAATGCTCCACGACATTGAAGCTAAAAACATCTTTAAGGATGAAACAGCACTGACCATGCAAGTGGAAGCAAACATAAACAAATAGGACTACATCAAACCAAGAAGCTTCTGCACTTCAAAAGAAACAGTGACCAAAATATAGAAAGAAAACACAGAATGGGAAAGAATATTTACCCACTACCCATCTGATAAGGGATTAATATCCAGGATATACAAGACACTAGTAGAATTGTACAAGAAAAAAAGCTCCAAACCCATCAAAAAATGGAGAGAAGAAATGAACAGACGTTTCCTCAAAAAAGAAATACAAATGACCAAAAGGCGCATTAAAAAATGCTCCACATAGCTAGCCATCAGGGAGATGCAAATCATAACAACAAAGAGATATCATCTCACACCACAGAGACTGGCACACATTCAAAAGAACAAAAGCAACCTGGATGTGGGGAAAAAGGGACACTCTTTCACTGTTGGTGGGAATGCCATTAGTCCAGCCTTTCTGGAAAACAATATGGACAGTCCTTCAAAAACTAGAAACAGCTTCCATATGACCCTGCAATACCACTTCTGGGAATATATCCTGAGGATGCAAAAAAGCACAGTAGAAATGACATCTGTACCTATATGTTCATTGCAGCACTAATCACAATAGCCAAAATCTTGAAACAACCTAAGTGCCCTAGAACAGATGACTGGTTAAAGAAACTTTGGTACATTTACACAATGGAATACTATACAGCTGTCAGGAGAGATGAAGTCATGAACTTTGCTTATAAATGGATAGAGATGGAGAGTATCATGCTAAGGGAAATGAGTCAGAAAGAGAGGGACAGATACAGAAGGGCTGCACTCATTTGTGGAGTATAAAACAACATAACCTGAGGCTGACACTTAAGGATAGTAGATTCACAGGACAGATAGATTACTCCATAGCTGTAAGCCTGCCTCATGAGCAAAGGGGAGAAGGCAACTGGAATAGAGAAGGGATCACTAAGAAAAAGATGGCTGGAGGAATCGGTCTGGATGGGAGATGTGTGCAGAAAGTAGATAAAGGACCAAACATGATAACCTCTCAGGGTCTGTAATGCAAACTATAATGCCCAAAAGTAGAAAGAGATTATGGGGAATCAGGTTTGCCATGGATGCAGGGGAAGGGTGGGAAAGGGATACTGGTGGGGATACTGGTGGTGGGGAATGTGCACTGGTGGAGGAATGGGTGTTTGATCATTATGTGATTGTAACCAAAACATGAAAGCTCATAACTATCTCACAGTGATTCAATAAAATTTAAAAAAAAATTAAGTCTCCTCACTGTCTCACATTCAGTACCCTACAGTCTCTTTGAAGTACACAGTTTGGTGAATGTACCATGACCTCTTTGAGAGGCAAGTGTGTAACCAAAAAGTCCAACGCCATATCTGGAACAGGAATAAAATACAGATTCCTCTACAGCATCCCAGTTCTTACACATATATCTGAGCATTGTGAAAATCCACATTGTTTTGCAGATACTTATGAGAGTCAAGGGACAAAACAATATACTCAACAGGCTTCTACACAAAGGTTTCCAGGTCCTCACTTCTCTCTTCTCTCCCTTTCGGAATTTCCTGCTTTTCTTAAACAACCAGCCACATTACATTATAGACACATTTCATCATCTTTTTATTAGTTGACTGACAAAAGAATCCCTAAGGAGTTTATTCTCAAAATGATGCTTTTTTTTCATTTGTGACAGATCAACTACCTCTCCCACATGACAAGGCATAGTTGCCTCTAGGGATCAGAATTCAGTTTGCTCATTCCCCCATTCAACAAGCATTTGTTGAGTACCTCAGGCATTTGATAGACAAACTCAGGCTCAGTGTTACCCACAAGGCACCGTCAAATATCGTCCCTCTCCTTAGTAGCCTTTGGTCTATTGTGAACAAGAAATACAAATTATGATAAAAACACAAACATGAAGAATGTTAAATGAGAAATATGCATGTTTGGAAGTAAGCAAAGGACCCCTTGAGCAGATGACTTGTAACCTAAGGTCTGCAGATGAGAAGTCACCAAACACATAAAGATCAAGGACAAGAGTAGTTGAGGCTGATAGTTTTCATCGGGAAAATTCAAACTTTCTCAGCTCACTGTTTTGAAAAGCATCTCATTGACTTACACAAGAATATTATATACATATGTAATTTATATAAAACCAAGCTCCCAGAAGAGAACACCACAGAGTCTCCTGCCCCTGTGCCTGGCTGTCCTCACAGGAGCCCCTTGGAAGGGGGCGGGTTGAGTTTCCCTCCCCACCCTGAGCAGAGCCCCAGCAGCTGAAGACCTCTGGAACCCAGCCACAGCCATGCTAAGACCATTCTCCACATGCTTGGATGAGCCTCACGCATAAAGGAACTGCAGAGGAATCCAGGTGTGCGGGACCTGGGGCTGAGATCTCCAAGCCTGCTCGGATCAGGATGGGCCTCCTCCACCTACATCCCCCATCTTCCAGTAACTAGATAGTTGCACTCACCAACTGCCATGTAATCCCACCAACGGCCAAGATCCAGAGACTATAAAACCAAGCTCTCAGAAGTGTGGGGCTGCATTTCAGCCCTGCGACCTCTTATTGTCTAGTTTTCACTCTCAGAGAACCCAGCAGGCTACTGAAAGTATCCTGCCCGCATATATGGCTGACTGGGAACACCTGTAAAGGTGATTAGAGGCTGCCCCAAAGGTGATTACTGCTGCCTCCATCCCTCTCGGAGAGCCTGGGAGCTACTGAGAGTATCCTGCCCGCATAGCAGAGCCTGGCAAGCTATCCGTGGTGTACTCGATATGCCAAAAACAGTAACAATGATGGTCCTCATTCCTCTGACCCTGGAAGAGCCCCCAATATGCCATTGGGCTACACTAGCACATAACATGGACGAATGGAGATGTTACTGGCGCCTGCTCGAGCAAATTGATGAACAACGGAATGACAGTGATACAGTGATATGTAATTTATGTGGTTTGAAGATATCTAAAACTTAGCAGAAATAAATGAGGTAAACTCGTGATGAGTATGATCATACATATTTTGGCTGAAAATTATGCTTAGGATTGGTCTTCTTACATGTTTTTGTTCATTATGGCTTTTTAACCATCAGTTCTCACTATCAAACTTTTGTAACAAAATTTTTACCATTCTTTTGAGGCTGGGTTTAACTTTGATTCCTCCATAGAGACTTTCTTGACCATTCCATCTTCTGTGATCACTCTTTTCTGAGTTCCTATAGCCATTCTATCTTCCTATAGGATTTATCTTCTATGAACTGTTTCCTTCGATGACCATGTGTTTTCCTCTATTCTATTCTTCATCCAATGTCTGATAGATCAATTATAACATTTGTTGAACAAGAAATTTCCAATTTAACTAGGCTTCTCAATTGCTCTAAGAATTCCATAGTCAAAATCCCACATGGAAAATAAGACCCTTTGAGTCCTTTTAAAAGAATTTGACCAGGGGGATATAGAGATAAATAATACAAAAAAATTACCTGACATCAAACATATTATCTCCTTCAAGTGAACACATCAGAAAATATTCCATGTAAGCAAAAGCAGTAGTAGGATTTCATTGAATAGTGCTTAGGGACTAGCAATTATGAAATAATCTTTAAACTTAAGACTAAATCCCAAGCTAAGATTTTTTCTCTTGAACAATAAAGTCAAAGTTGCAATCATTTTTACAGTACAAAAATTTTATTTTTTGTTAGGATAATTTAAAGTTTAAAACTGAAGTAGACATATTCATTTTACAAACAAGATATTCTTTCATAAGTAAGACCATTAAAAACAGTAAACAAAAAAGCCGTCTTTACAAAAAGCTCTGTGCATAGCAACTTTATACTGTTTATAACTGACAAAGCAAAACAATAAAATGGAACTATACAGTTTGAAAATGAGAACTCACTGTACAAAAGGTAGGGAAGATAATGGTTTTTAAACCATGCATATTGAAATGTGCAAAGAAAAACTGGGAAAAATTATGATGCTATAACAAAAAGTACGATAAATAATGAAGTAAATTGTCCCTTTAAATGAAAAATCTTACACAGCTCCTCTTACAAAGATAGGATATAGTTTGTAGTTACCTATAGAAATACTCATATTCAAGTGGCACAAAAATAACCTGGGACCAGAATGATTTAACAGCAATGACTAAAGAGGACAGAGTAGCTTTGTTTTTAATTTATTAGTACACTAAAAATAATCCTTACACACATTTGTACAATTAAATAGATTTGCTGCTGTCAAGGTTCTAGCTGAATGATCAGGAATGTCTGGTATTTAGTTACGCACATTTTTCGGTGTAAAGCTACCAACAAATTCTACAATCATTTTGAAGACAGTACTGCACTCATCTTCATGCAAGAGCAAAATTCACAGATTCTAAAAGCAATGCTACTTAAAAAAATCATTTCCTTATGTTGCATTGGCTCAAATCCAGGTCTAAACATGCTTAATTTTGATCTGCCTTCACATTGGGATGGTACACCACACTCCCTTCTCATTGGGTTTTTTTCACTGGGAACTTTCTCAAGTGGTGTGTTTCCCTGTATTTTGGTATGTTAAGTCCTGGGTATGAGGGACTATGCGCAGAAATTATAAGCACATCCGTTTTCTGAAACCTTGGATTTTCATGTGCATAGAAACAGTATTTAGGTCATATTGGAAAATTCCAGAATAGATTAAAAAGCAAATGAGATTGTTAAGGGTTCAATAGGTGGGGGGGGATGTTTCAATGGGAAAGGGGAAACTCATGAAGTCATCTAAGATTGGCTCAGATGCATTAAAGATATCTTTCCATAAGAGCTGTATCAATTTCTAATGTTAGAAGCCCAGCCGAGAATCCCAAACGGCAGTCTATGTAGAGACTGCACTGTGATGCCAACAAGTCAATAGGGAAAACCCTAGCCTGGAAAAAAAAAAGCATGCTTATTGGCAACCCTGATGAGTCTGGGTACATCTCGAGGATCACTTCATTTTTCACAACTCAGTCACTGTTAGCAACTGTTAAGAGGACTCTTCTTTAAGGAACTAGTCTCAAGAGCTGGGAGAATCTGTTGCAAGACTGGGTAACTGCTTAGAACATTGATGTCTCTAATTACTGACCCTACCAAGAACCTGAAATCCCATTTCCTCACAGATCAGGAGAGGGATTTAGGGCTCTTTTCCATCTCATTCTTACCTGGAAACCGTCAAGTGATTTTCAAGAGAATTTAATGTCATGACAGTGGAAATCTATAGAGAGAAGAAAAAATGTGGACACGCTAAGATTCAAGAAACAGAGTCATCTTCTTCAAACCATGTTTTCAAAATCCTCTGATAAAACAGGAAAAAAAAAACCTTAAAAGCAAATAGATCTGTCAAGCAAGTATTAAAGAGGCTGCTTGGCTGGGAAAGTTGTGTGGTTTGAACTCATATTTGATATGAGCTACTTCTTTCCCCAGGATACTCAAAACCCGGGGTGCACTAAAATATGGTAATTCTCTGCATTGATCGGGGGAAAATGTAGATAGCTAATAGAAGCTTTAAAAAATTCACAGAGTGAATAGTAAAAGGGACATAGATACTATTTAGAAAGCAGATGGAGCTGGGAATGAATGATGGGTGTTTATGTCTGTGCATGGACATTTTTGTTTCTGCATCAAGTTGTTCTATAGGAATCTACACAAGGTACATATTCTTGCCCATGGGTCAATAAAAGATGGAAAAAGAAGGGAATGCAGGACAGGGGGGTAAGAGTCTAGTAAGTAACTGAGTAATAATCACACACTTTTTTAACCTGTTACTACGTGTTTGCATCATTTTCATTTTACATCAGGAAGAGAGTTTTTTTCTCTTCCAAAAGGTCTTAATAACTACTTCTACTTACAATAAGTTACACGTTTATTTATTTAAATAATTGTAAAACATTTTAAAATTTTTCCCTTTTTTTGTTTTTGTTTTTTTAAGAGATTAAACTATAATCAAACACACATACAACATTTCATCATTCAATTCAGGTTTCATTTTAAGAAAGTCTTCCATGCTGGTACCCTGTTTTGTTCAATTTTTTTTCTGCATAAACTAAATTGGTATCTGAAAGGCTTCATAGAAAATAGAAACTTTCAACATTTTTTCCTACAAAGAAAAACAAATAGTATCCAAAATATTAAGCATGAATTGTTTGCCAATTTTTTTCTTAAATATTTTACAAACATAGGAAGGTGGTTCTCATAATGTTCATAACAAAGAATTGCATTTCTGCTTTTAGCACTGACTACGTCAATGATATCTTTTGTCCTTGTCCCCAAGACAGTCAGTTTGTGTAGCTATCATCCGAGCTACAGGACAAACATGAGACCAGGTAAGATGCAGGCTCCTTGCATACCCAAATCTGTCCATTATGTTCATTTTGGGGCTCAGCTCTCCCCACAGAGCTCAGAGTGCTTTCCTCATTATTGGTCCATCAGAATAAGTAGTTTTGTGCTATAAGAAAGCAGTTCTTCCTCTTCTTTACATCGGGGGCACCACCAGACCGGTCATGGCTGTAAGGAAAGAGAAAGGCACGGGAATGAGACTCAGAGACTCTTCATGTTGAAGTCCACAAACCAGAGAGCTGGGGCAGGGTATAAGGTTGATACAAAGTCTGGTAAAATTCAGGAAAAACCCTTGAGGACATGGGAAGACTTTTTCTCCAGGTTTATTCTTGCAAATTGCCTATTAAAAGCATCAAAGAATTCAAATAGCAAGTCTTTGAAATACAGAAAAATGATTATTGAAGTTTTGCTTAGAAGGCAAGAATTATATTTTGCTTTGCTTTATATTAATGGGGGCTTTACAAGATATAACAGATAAAAACACAAAAGCTAAATTGCAATATATATGACCACTTTTCATTATTAGACATTTGCACTGCACCATGTAGATTACATAGATTACACAGAGCCAAATCACTTAGTTGTAACAGGAAAATGGACATAAATCATGTCTATTAAGTAGCTTACTAGGCATTTTTTATAATAAATTTGTTTTTTAAATGCTGGGTATCTATCTTGCTAAAATTTAGTTATAGGTATATTGTTTTTCTAACATCTTTTGGTGTACACAGCTGATAAGTGATACTCATTCTCTAATGAAAGTCAATCTACTGGAATAGAAGAGTTAATTTAGTTTCATTTAGTTTCTAATATGGGAGTTACCTCAACCTCTGCTCTTCACCACCTACCCAAGAGCAGTGTCCAATGTCTGTCCTGTATAATCAAGTAGATATGAATGAAACTGCTCAGGTGGTATCATGTTCAAGGAATTCCCTCAATAGGTGAAATTAAGCAGAACAATAGAAGGTGTTCCTCTGCCCTTGGGGCTTAAGTGATGAACCCACAGAATTTTCACATGCATGGAAATTGGCAAAATCAAAACTTTAAAAACCAACTAGAATTTGATTCTGAGTTTTATTGTTTAGAACTCATCACAGTGGCATTTAGTGTGTGGTGCTTACTAAACTTAGAAATTTTAGGATTACAATAAATGACCAAAATTCTTCCTGCTTTTTCCAATCTTTGAATCTTCCCCTCTTTTCCTCCCTCCCTCCCCCATCCCTCTCTCCCTCTCTCTCTCCCCCCCAGTTCCGCAGCCCTCCTCTCTTCTCCGCCTCTTCTCTCTGTACTAGCTATTCTCTGGCTAAATTGTCAGCCTTCTAGTTCCCTGCCCATACAGCTTTTATTGAATGTTTGTGAGATCTGGATTAAGGTCTTACACAGCTAGCAAAGCCTTAATTATTTTTGCCTGTATTACTATATATTGAATCGATGTAACTTTTCAATAAAGGCAGTTCAATTCTGGACACTCCCAGATGATTTGGAGATATAGCAGCCTTGGTAATTATCCCGGAGTGTAGGAGGTTTTTTAATTTTTTTTTATTTTATTTTATTTCCTGGAGGGAGCTGGAAAACGAATCAGGCATAGAGTGGATAATATTATCCCAACAATCTATACTCATCAATTGTAAATGCCTGATGAATGAGGTGGAGGGTGGGCCAAGAAATGGAGCACTTGGAGCTCACTGTCAAGATTCTGATTTTCAACTTCAACTTGTCTATTCCACTTAAAACTCATCAGCCTCTTCCTTTTACTGAGTCCTCTGAGAGTTGCCTAAGGAGTTTATTAAAAGGGTAGAGCTGTTCAAAGAACAAGATCCACTGCATGCCAGAAGAACAACAGATCTCACCGATTTCCCTTGTTCCTAGTCTCACATCAGGCACGAGGTGGGCTGGATCTCTGCTACATGATGGCCCTGCCTTTCTGCTCGTAGAAACCGTAGTGAACAGACAGAAAGCAGAATTTAAATGGAGAAAAAGTAAGCATTTTCATGGGGGTATGGGTGTGCATAATTGAACTCTGATTGTCCCGATTTGTTGAAACCTTTGGCATTGGGAAAGCAAGAATCCCCTTTTGTTCCAGGTGGAGGGCAACAACAGGTAAGGCTGGAGAGAGGGTGTGCGTGATTTCCACTGCTGCAGACTCAGGCTGTCAAAGCCAGACCTGGAGTCAAACGTTTGATTTCCAGCCACCAGTCACTTGTTATGTGGCCTAAGGCAAGTCACTTAACTAAAACTTGGATGACTGCCTCCCTGCAGTCACCTGTGAGGCTTCAGATAGTTTGTAGAAAGTAAAAAGTGCTCGGTTCAGCCTCTTGCACCAAGAGGTCTTTAGGGGGGCTGGCCGAACATGCCCTCCACAGATAACCCAGACCATCACCCTGTCAGGTCCAGCAAAGAGCTTCTCCAGGAGCTACCTCCTCAGCACCCATCACCCACATTTTCACAATCCCATATATCTCAAGAGAGATGGTGCTTATCTTCCCTGAAAGCCCTGGATTTCTTCATTCCAAGATGTCACTGTCTTCAGTGTCTGCTGGTCTCTCTTCCTCTCTATCATTGAGGCGTTTTGTCATGTTGGCCTTGAGTTTCTATTCACCATGTTCTACATGAGGAGCAGCGGGAGTCAAGGTGTCAGAAAGGCAGCCTTTGCCAACCCCTGGCTTCCTCTTTGCGCTGCATAAAATATTCATGACCTTTTCTGGATCTTCATCCAAATTGTTCCATGTGGATCCTTGTTCATAGCTCTTAGTTTTTCTATTTAACAGAATTAGAACTTAAAGCTCTAAGAAGTAATAATTTTGTAGAGAATCACAAAGCGGTAAAAGAGCTGAGCTTGAACTCCAACACATACCTGGTATAGTCAGGTCCACCATCCTCACTCCATGCATCACTGGACCAACTAGGCCAAATGGTTCAACACTCAGACCCAGCAACATGGTAATGCTTAGAATCAGAGGGCTGGCTGCCACCAAGGTCGCACCTGGTGGTCTCAGGGTTGTATGAGGCCCCAATTATTTCTTCTTAAGGTTCAGATCATCATGTAAATTTGGGGTAGGGGATGACCATAAATTATAAAGAAGCTTATGGCCTAATAATGAATCTATTGAAATGAAAACTAGAATCTATGCCTGTGGATAACCAGCTAAATTGTCACATCTACACCATCAAGATTGTACAGATCACAGCCTAATATAGTGATTATGGTGAAAGAAGCTGAAATGACAGAAGATCCTAGAGTAGGTCTTTTAAGGTCTGTTGTGTCCTCATAGGGAAATCTCACAATACCAACTAGGCTAGATGCTTCAACACTCAGACCCAGCAAAGCAACACGGTGATGGTTGGAACCAGAGGGCTGGCTGACACACCTGGTGGTCTCAGGGTTGTATGAGGCCTCAATTATTTCTCTCTTTTTTTCTTATCTTATTGGAAAATAAACATAGACTCCTACCAGTGCTCTGGGTCAACTCCAACTACCAGGTGTCTTAGGTATGCAGCAAGAGGAAAAGGAAGGTTGACAAGCCACAGGACCAGTGAAAAAACTTATCCTGGCATCTCTAAGGGCTGAGAGTCTGGAAGTTCTGAGACAACCAGTTCCCCTTCTCTGACTCATACTCATAGACAACAGAATGTGGGAAATGTGACAAATGGAAGGCAAGCTACACTTTCTTTTATTTAAAGTAGAACTAAAGGGGCTAGAGTGATAGTACAGTGGGTAAAGAGTTTGCCTTGCAGACAACCAACCTGAGTTTGATCCCCAGCACCTCATATAGTCTAGTGAACACCACCAGGAATGATTCCTGAATACAGAGCCAAAAATAAGCTGGGTGTGAACTCCAAACAAAAAATAAAACATGAAAAATATAAAGTGCAACTGAAATATTTATATTTCCTAGAATGCAGAAGGAGCTGTATTCTTTCTGTCTTCTTGTCAGACCATATCATATCATATCAAGGAAAACCTGAATATCGGGTTAACTTTGATCTGACATTCTGCATTGGAAAATAAAGCCTGAGTGATTCTTCCTCTCTCCATTTGGTTTAAAAGTCCTGACTAGAACCAAAGAACTTTTAATAGGAAGACAACATCATAGAAGTGACGATGGGTGGGGAAAAGTTACAATAAATATTCAACAATTGTTTTCCCTTTTCAATCTGGATATGAAGCCATCATGCAAAATATGTCTGAGTTCACCTCCTAACAATAAACCTATGGTGCTTGATGAAAGTCAGAACAGGTTGAGATGCTTCGCTATCGGCTGTGTCTGTTTCTCTATGGTCAGACATCTGGATGAAAACCAAACAAAATACTCCTCAAATATATAGTCGCTTCTGACTGCCCACATTTTGGGTGGCACGTAATCCAGCTGCTTTGTTAAGGTAAAGGTAAAGGTAAAGGCCCTCCCGTTGATCGTCGATTTGCTCGAGCGGGCCCAGTAACATCTCCATTGGAGACTTTGTTGTTACTGTGTCTGGCATATCGAATACTCTCGGTAGCTTGCCGGGCTCTCCGAGAGGGGCGGAGGAATCGAACTCGGGTCGGCCATGTTGGCCGCGTGTAAGGCGAACGCCCTACCCGCTGTGCTATCGCTCAGCGTTAAGTTGGAAGTAAATGAATTTTCACAGACCCATCTCTTCTAAGTTCTGGCTTTCAGATATCCTTTCACAGTTTCTGTTTAATCATTTGATGTCAAGGGGTCACTGTGGTCTCCAATGGGAAGGAACCCAATGTACCTTCTGGAGCTCCACTCAGCCACAACTGAAGAAGGTTTCTCACAGGCATCCCCAGAAGATCAGGAGCCTGTGCAGTCTCCTGAAGCCAGGAGGCAGAGGTGCTAAAGGACAGTACAGCTCTTCAAGGTTCTGTTGCCTTCAAAGGCTGTCATCCACCAGGCCTTACCAAACTTCCGCCCTTTTTAGTTTCATCAGACACTGTTGTTCTAAACGTTTTCATGTCAAGACTTGGAGAAGCAGCTTAAAATAATGTGGGTCGTCAGGATTTCTAGTGTTCAGCAGTTTCCAATTTGCTCTTTTGCCATCAGCTGCCTCCCATTCACAGCGAGATGATTAGATTCTCATGTACTCATCACATTTGTGTTACATCATGTCATATTACATTTAAGAATATTGCTCAAAAATGGATTTGACGGGTGATTTTGTTCTTAGAAGTTGGTTTTTTTTTTCTCTTCCCTATCCCACCTCTGATCAGGCACCTGCTATCAATTTGACTAGCATGGAACCAGAATTCTCAGAACTTGCTGTTTGCTCCTGATGGATCCTATTCGTTTGAGCCAAGGGCTGCACTGCAGATGATAAACCAATTAGGTAAGGAGTAACCACTGTACGGCATCAGATGTGGTGGCCAGGCACCTTCAGTAAACTGTGGCATGGCCTTGAAGAGAACAAGAGTTCAGACCCACTCGGAGGATACGTGTGGCTCTACTGCTGTTCATTCTGTGACCTTGCAGAATTATTGGCCGACTTCTTTGTTTTTCCCTCATCATGCAGCTGGAGAGGGTGCTAGACCAGTTGGACAAACCATTCCTGTGCCCCCACGATGAGCACACCAAAACATCTCTTGGTAGGAAAACAGAGATACGAGAGGATGCTGTGCTGTTTGCTCAGATTTTGCTGGCCCTGCAGCACACATAGCATGCTTACTCCCAAAGGGGCAGCTTTGCTTACCTCTGAATCCATTTCCATTGCCACTGGAGCATGCAGGTGAAGGGGAGCCTTGGGGCCTGATGACAGGGGCAAAGGCACTCTTCTGTTTGACAGCAGGAAAAACCGAAGAGGAAAACGGGAGAATGGAGGACGTGCTGGAAGATCCAACAGTGGGGCTTGATGACATGACTGGAAAGCAAATGCACAATCCTCTTAGAAATGGGCACAGCTAGGAGTTACATTTCTTTTCTTCAGTACACACATTCTGTACACTCACGGAGAAATTAATTTGTTCCAGGTATTATTCCAGATTCCAGATTACAAAAAGTTGAATGTGAAAATGTCCCCACCCTGTCCAGTGGGAAGAATAGAAATGTATACAATAAGCAGGGCAGTCATCCTACTGGAAGGGGCAACAGATGAAGAAAACACGGAGGGCAGAGCGCTCTTCTGCCCCAGAACTGGGCATCAGTCACCAGGAAGAGATGTTTGAAGGGTCTTAATTCATTAGTCAAAACATAACATGAGGACTAAAACCAATGTCTAAAATGTAGCTATCAAATGTATTCAAGAACAAAAGCTTCTTTTTTTTCCATCCTAAAAGGAAGACCTAACTGGGATCTATGTGCTTTTTTTGGGAGGGGGCAACTTTCAAGGTGCAAAGGCTTGACCTACAGCATGAATATCTTCTCTGTAAGTGTCATTTCTACAGGCCACGTTCTCATAAAATGAGAAAGTTTATTAGCTTTCAGGAAATGATCTTCTCTCCCTCTGCTTTCAGAACTCTTGGGAAGTAAAGCTGAGAGTCAGCTTCTTTTGACAAAGCACGTAGGGAAACAACTCCGATATCAACAGTACTAGTATTTTAAAATTACTTTAAAAAATAAAAACAAAAGCTAACTGTTGCACTTTTCAAGAAAAATAAAATCAATGTACACAATGAAGTATTTCATCTTTTAATGTGGATCTGCCATTAAGATATAACACTAAAGTAGATGATATTAGCTTATATGCTCAGGTTACTCAACAAAGGAATTGACTAGCATTTAGAAAGGTAAAATTATTAGATATAGAATTGCATAATATCAAGCCAAATTTTAGGAACTTACTTCAGCAGAATCTCTAGGATTCTCAATGAAAGTCACATGACTTATTTTTAAAATTGCTGGAACTTAGGCAAAGATCATAGTAAATGTAGGATTGCTCATTTTTGTACTCTCTCTCTTTTCTCTCTCTCCCTCTCTCTAGCCACTCAGCTATATCACGAAGAAAAAATTTGAGAGAAAAAAAATATGCCTTAGGATTCAAAGACCAGGTACAAAGTGAATTGAAGATAAACTCTTCTGAGACCCTATAAAAGTCATTTTCCTCCCTTCCATTCCTATAAACATATACTTTAAGATATTCTATGCTCATACCATTTCATAATGGCCATCAAATATCATATAACGTGATAACCACCAATATAACATCTTTTATAGCCAAGCTGCAAATCAAAGGCCTCAAAGTTTTTCTTTCCCTAAAAATATTCGGTAGTTTTTTCCTAAAAACCATTTATCCTTAGATAGTCCTGATTTTAAAAATTATACTGAATAAATATTTGAACATTGAACACCCTTCCTTGAGTAATACAAAAAAAGTAAAATGAAAAAGTAGATAAATTCCTAAAAGAAAATCATGTACTACCTGAAGATACAAATGGAGAAGTTGTGCTAATATAAGACAGGAAGCTAGAGTATGGGATTACGTACTTGGAATAGATCATGTTCATAGTTTCAAGCAAAATCTCTTCTAGTCTTGATTTTAATATCATTGAAATAAGAGGTGTCAAGGGGGAGGAGTCTCTCCCCTTTCCATGAGAAACTAGAGGTCAAAGAAAATATAAGAGCCTGGGGGCTCTGATTCTGATCAGAGTCCAATCTTTGCTATCCTATATGATCCATGCAAGCATCAAAATCACCCCTTTCTGTGTTTGTAACAAAAAACCTCCCTAAAAACATACAGTAGAGAAAGGTTTTATAATGTGACAGATATACACACTTGATTCTAAGTATTTACAAATTTTCTAATATCAGATCCCAAAGCAAGTTTCATTAGATCAAATATAGCTATAGTTCAGTGGAAGAGATGTCACCTCAAACTTTACAAAATGACACACAAAAAAATTTTTAGCACTACATGGGCACAGACATGACCATTTAAAACACTTTTAATTATAAGATGCTAAATTATATTCAAGGTAATTTAAAATGTAACACGACTATAGTAGAAATCCTGCAAGGAAATTTGTAAATGCAAACACAATTTCTATGTTATTGTTTTAAAATAACAGTGACAATGCAACAGCCAAAACATCTTGCTAAAGTTTTAGAATTTTTTAAAAGGAGGGATTTATCTTAACAGATATTAAATTTTACAGTATGTCTACTTCAGTGTAATCAGAAAATAGTAGCATATAAATAGGCAGACAAGTCTTTGGAACAAAATAAAGTTCAGCAACAAACAAGGTCTTTTTCTGAGGGTACAAATGAAAGGTAATACTTAATAAATGTGACAATTCAAATTAGTGGGCAATGATATGCCTGACATTTTGAGAATAAATTGAGAGTGCTTTCTCATGTAAAACATTGAAGTAAATCTAAGTGGATTTAAGAGTTATATGCAAAACATGACTTCAAAGGTACGTGTAGATATATTGGGAGGTTATATCATTTACATGATTCTTTCAACCACAGTCTAAACAGAATATCCCCGATAGATCTGCCAAATAGCAAAATGCTGCTGTGACTCATACAGGCAAATGACAATTCAGGAAACTTATTTGCAATAACTCTGGAGGTCTGTTCATGTTTTCAATAGCTAATAATTAGAAAAAGAAAAACATTCCAACAAAAAGTGAGCAAAGTACATGAAAGCAAAGTCAAAAAAGATAGATAAAGATAACCAAAAGACCTTTATAGACCTATAAACGTTTGACTAGGTTAGTAATAAAATGCTAATTAAAACAGTAATGAGATATTATTTTCCACGTACAAAATTGATAAAGATTAAGAAAAAATTAACAGGGCAGAGAAACAGATATTCTTCCTGTTCTAAGAGGAGTATTAACCTCTCTGGAGGGACTTTGGCAATGCATACCAAAGTATTTAAAATGTGCATATCCTTTGACCTGGTAATTTCATTTCTAGATTAATCCCAAGGAGATAATCATGAATGGGTAAAAAAAACTTTTTCAAGGGCGTTTTTAGAATCATGAAAAACTGAGAAATAATTTTAACCAGCAATTGGGTTAACTACCAAGTCCATTCAAAGGAATACTAGCAAATATTAAAATTAATCTTATGACTATTTAATGACATAGAAAGATATCCCTTCTTTCTAGGTGAAAAAAACAACATATACATCAAACCCACTTGCTACCTTTGTTTTACAAAGTGAAAGTCAGGAAGAAGGTGATATACATTTAAACTTGTAAAGTTGCTATCAGCTGATGAGATTATACCTGCTCTTAATTTTATTCCTATTTCTTGTTCATATTTTCAAATTCCTTTACAATGAGTATGTTTTATTTTGGGTAATGAAATACTAGTAAAAGCTTCTAAAGATTTAGATGTGAACTTTGTATTTCCTTTTTTCTCCCTCTCTCTTTGGGTCATACTCAGCAATGCACAGGGGTTACACCTGGCTCATGCATTCAGGAATTACTCCTGGCAGTGCTAAAGGGACCATATGGGATGCTGGGAATTGAACCTGGGCTGGCCGCGTGCAAGGCAAACGCCCTACCCGCTGTGCTATCGCTCCAGCCCCAAATTTGTATTTCCTTGACAAAAATAGCTATCAGCAACAAGCACGATAACATTTCTAAATCATTTTAATATCCATCCTTGATTAAGTCCTTTATCATCTGTAAAAGAAAAATGACTAGCGTACATTGTTAATAAAACTAAGGTTACTTGTAGAGAAAGCTGGCGGAGGGGTAAGAGTCAGGTAAGTTTATTAATTGCAGTTGACTTTTTGATGCAAAACCACTCCAAGTACCCGTTTTCTGGAGGTCTGCATCATTGGTAGATATCGTATTTTTGTTTGTTTCAGTGGACAATGGCACCACACCTAACAGTGCATAGGAACTACTTTGGGGCACTCACAGATGTGTTTGGGGACCATGCTGTGCCAAGGGTGGAACCCAGGTGTCTGGCATGCAAAGTATGTGCACTACAAAGGCTATATATTGTCTTTGAGCTATCTGCCCCGCCCATGGTGGATAATATAAAGACGAGGATCGTGTAAGTGAGTTTGGTAGTGTTGTGGCTTTTCTCTTCCATTGCATTCATTCTGGCCGAATCCTTTTTGTGCATCAGAGTGGATACTGCACTTTGTCAGAACTTATCTATCCATGCCTGGATGGTTATACTTTAAAAGTTAACAATGGGCTACGTCGGCATAGATATAGTGTGTCTTTTTCTTTTTCTTTTTAAAATACATGCTTTTCAAATTGTCTCCGATGAGAATTTTACCACTGTAAATAGAATTCTGATTTTGTTTTCTAAAGACCATAGGAATATATCAAAATGTGGAAGAGGTTGTTGTTTATATGGGTTAGGGTGGGGCGGGGGCGGTTGCTTTCTCTTTAAAGTAATTTTCATAGCTTCTTAGTTCTCTATAATAATCATTTAGCACTACAATATAAAAGTGTCTTGAGGTTTATTTTTGAAACTGTGATGTTGGGCCTCAAGCATAGTCTAAGTCTGTGTGCGTGAAGCAGGAATCCCGGAGGACCCGTTGGATTCCTGCCTATATGGATTCTGTCCCAAACTTTAGATTTGCTTGGTGGCTATTCTGCTTTAGAGGAAGTGATCCCAGGGGTGTTGCAGGCTGGTTGGATAGCCCATCTTTGGGGATACCATTTTAGGAGAGTTAATCACACATACTCCCAACTGAGGATTCCTCTGGACATCTCTCTCTCTCCATGGAGAGAGGCCAAAGCACAGGCAAGCACGTCTGGCCCCCAAATCTCTGTGAACATAGGATTTAAGAAAAAAACCACTTTTCTTCTTATAAGGATTGATTGGCTTGCACAGTCCCAGCTGGAGCTCACCGGGCACATATCCTCCTCTGCATCGAGCCATTGCATTTGTTGGCGCTAAGGGGTCTGTCAGCATTTCATTATAACCCCCTATTGTCAGGGGTTTAGAATTCAGCCATAAAAACTTGCACTGAGCTGGAACTTGGCACACACTGCTACCGCCAGGAAGTGAAGTTTGTATGTGAAATTGAAAAAACATCTGTTTGGCCATTTTTGAAGTGGTGTGAGAGCGAGAGCAGTAAAGAGGCAGGGTTTTTTGACACTCTGTGTTGGCTGTACTGCAAGTCAACTTGACCTAGAGGCTTGGCTTTATTTCTTCTTAACATCTCTGGCAAGAGACATCTCCATGCCATCGCCTGGTATCAAGACTTGTTTGAAAAATACAATGAAAAATAAAAGCATAGACTAGAGGTTTTTGATACAGGCAACTAAATTTATGAAATGGTTTCCCCCTGTTTTTTTGTTTGTTTGTTTGTTTGCTTGTCTGGGATTTTCTTTGTTTTTCATTTCAAAGACAAACTCTTAAACTGGTTAGAAATACACTGGTGGTGGATGTGGTGCTGGAACTGTGTGCATGAGAAACCATCATTAACAGTATTGTAAATTATAAAACTTCAATCAATAAAAACAACTTAAAAATTTAAAACTACTGATCAGATGCTACTAGAACAATCTTCATGGAATTGTTTGTCCCTTCATAATTGAGAAATATTATTGTAATGAATGCACTGTTTGGAACCTCCATCCATCAACTGCAACTCCTGCAAAATCCGCATTGTCTACAACTCAAAACAAAGATGTAAAGGATCACACAGACACAGCAGAAGCAGGGTTTGTGTGATTCTTTGCATACCTCTACTATGCCTTCCACTCCTGATTTCCTTTCCTAGTCTGTGTTTGCCCTCTTGTTTTAATGGTGATCTGAGGATCTGGGGGTTATTACTTTCTTGGTGGCAATGGAAGTGAGTGATCAAAGGATAGTGGAGGACAGAAGGATTCCTTCTACCAAATGAATTGTTTAATACAAAAAAATCTTAAGTAATTAACACCCAACATTCCTAATCTCTTTCTCTCCATTTCCTTCTTGCTGCATCTCTTCTATTCCTTCTCCCTTACTTTCTTTACCCTTCCTGCCCTCCCACTCTCCCCACTTCATCACCACATAATACACTGTATTGATGTATCAACAGTTTGGGGTTGACAAAAAAAAAATGATTTCACATGTTTTGACCTAATACAAATAACTTTATTTATCTGTGTGCAAATAGAACTATGTGAAATTGGCCTTTGGAGAAATTAAGGGAGGTAATTTTGTATGGTTCTGCCTAATATTATTAGTGTAAACAAGTTAAAATTTTTAAATTACTGAATATTTAAATGCATAGTTTTCTCATGTTTTCAAGTTCTCTATTTCTATAGATCAATTTATAAATCCATGAGCAATTCATTTTATAGTCCTCCATATTTTAGAAGGAAAATAATAATCACTTTTATTAAATCCATGCTCTGAGGCACTGATAGGAATTGTGTTGGTTATAAGCTCTAATGTGGAATCCAAGGGGCAGAGAAATGGCTCAACAAGCAACTGGGCACAGGCGTTGCATGCTGGAGGACCGGGCTCAATCTCCAGCACTACATAGTCCAACACTGTCAGGAGAAACTCCATAGCACAGAATCAGGAGTTGCCCTACACAGAGCATGTGTGACTCCAAACCTCCCTTCCTTCCAAATCTAAAAAGTACATGAATGACTTTATTGTAATCACCGTGGTTGTATGATACTATTTACATTAGGGCTCTCTTATCCTTGTATCATTTATAGGGCTGGGAAAGACATGGTCCCTATTGCATAAAGGTATCATCTCCACAAGGAAGTCTGGGAAAAACCACTCCAAGATCTCACCAACAGAAGAACCAGGATTGTCCTGACTACTAAAAATTTAAAATTAATGTGTGGACAGAAAAGTTTATAATACTGATGCATCTCTCTGCTTCACCATCTTGTACGATCAGAACAAAATTAATGACATCCTTAATGATAATGAATTCCCTCCCTGCTGGCTTTAAGTTTATCTAATTTTCCTAAACATAGATTTTTCTTTTATCTATGTTTTTTGTGGTTTCTATTTTAAATTTTTTACTACCTATCCACTAAGTAATATTCTCTAAAATATTTTAGAATAAGATAAGTAAGATAGATAAGAAAAGAAATCATGCAACACTTTCCTAAGGAGTATATACAGATGGTCAGTGGGCATATAAACGTGTTCAGTATCACTTCTTATTAGATACATGCAAATAAAAATAACAATGATCTATATCATCATACCAGTAAGAAACTAGTGAGAATGGCACAAATAAAGGAACCTATAAACAACCAGCATTGGTGGGGATGTGGTGAAAAAGGAACCCTCATTCACTCTTGGTGGGTATATCATCTGTTTCAGCTTCTATGGAAAATAGTATGGATATGTCTCAAAAAGATAATAATAATTATTCTGTATGACACAGTGAATATGCTATGTGGAATATATCCCTCAGACAGACACAAAAACATGAATTTAAAAATATATCCATACACCTATGTTTAGCACAGTGCTTAGTATAAGATCCAACTAAAGAAATAACCCAAATATTCAGTGAAAGATGAGTGGAAAAGAAGTTGTGGTATATATACACAAAGGAATAGTATGCAGCTATGGAATTAAAGAGTATCATTTTAAGTAAAAATATGTCAGAGGAAGAAGAATAAAAACTGTAGCTTATAGAAAACAAAAGATAGAATTATACCATATCAAAAATGATAAATTTTAGGTACTGAATTACAAAACTCAAATTACTAAGCAATGTTGGGGGCTCGGGACAGGATACAGGAGGGAAGAGGAGAATAAGAGGTGACATAAGGACAGTGGTGGACATTTTGCGGGTGGTGAGGTGCATCAACTATGTATAACAAAACCATACATGTTAACACTATTGTAAAAATGGTACCTAAACTATAATGAAAACAAAAACCAAAAAACTAGAGAGTGATGCTAAAAAAATCAAGCAAACAAGTAAGCAAGTTTGGTTTTTTTTAGATGACTCTGATCTAACTGATTTGGACAATCAACAAATTACAATACAAAACTCATGTTTCCACAGTTACCAGATTTTAGTTGTACTAGCAGTAGCTAGTACCAGTTACTACCATTTAACTACTTGGCAACTGCATCCTTATCACCTGGTGTAGAGCACTAAAGGTATGAATTAGGCTTGCTTTTCAAGCACGTTTTTCCTTGAACACGTTTCTTGCTTGCCTGTCCTGATGTTTCTTTGCTTACTGATTTCCACTCTAGAGACCTGTGTTCTCTCTTGAACGCAACACTTCTCCCTTTCTCTCCCCTCACATCTTTCTAAATAGGTTTCAACAAAAACTTTCTTGCTTCACCAAAACATAAAGCATACGAATCAAAGAAATAATCCCTAAGTCAACAACAGGTGAGTGTCCCCAAAGGATGAAAGACTAAGAGAGGCAGCTTCCAAATCTTTAGATGTCTCTTCTTGAGCTGCAGTAGAAACACCCCATGCTGTTCTTGACTTTCACTATTCCTGGCACCAAGGGAACAAGTGTTGGAGAAAGAGGCCCTGATTATAGCACTGCAACAAGACTCAGCATGTCAAGTGACTCCACTCAGGCACTTCAGTCATTCCATGCTGGGTTTTCCCCCTGGCTTTTAGTGTTTCCCATCCAATTTTTAAAAAATTCATATTCTCTCAGGCTCCTCAGACCATTGGGAGAGTTTCTGTCTTAGCCCCTAAAACCATGTAAATGAGGTTTCATAACTATTGGGAGCACCTGGCTTGCTACTACCTCATAGATTAATAATAAGAATCTCTGTGTCTATATAACACATTCTTTCAAGTAGTCCAGTGTCATATCACTAGGGAATATAGGGAGAGGAAAGCCATGTAACACACTAAGAGTGGGATCTGGGGTCATACACTAAAGAACTTAAAATCCAAAATGTTATGTCCAAAGCCTTGCCCTGCTTTATTCTATGTGATCTTAGGTAAGTGTTAACTGTGCATGCTTAATCTTCTTCATCTGTAACCTGAGACAAGAACCCTGACCTGAGAAGGTTCTTCTGAAGATTAAAAAAAATCATTACACTTTAAGGGTGTACACAATGTTAACTGAAACAGAAAAAACAAAATCCTAATTTCTTATACACATCTACGCAAGTCGCATTTTACTGTCTCCTTTAAAGGAAAATAGTTCCACTCGTTTTCTTTCTCCCAGAAGGTTTTTAGTAATAATTTCACATGCCCAAGTTTAGCTATGACTAGAGAACAAGAGACAGGAAATTTCATCAAGAAACTGGGCTACTTCTCCATGAGTCGGTCAGATAAATGAATGAAATTCTAAACATAGATGAGGAGAGCTGAAGAGATGGAGAAAGCACTTACTTCCGTAAGGGGAGCCGGTGGGGGAGCCATTTAGAAATCCTGGTGACCCTGGCACGCCCAGATTGGCCATGGGGACATTGCTGTAGCCATTCATACTATTACTGGAGGTGCTGTAATTAGACTGCTGGGGGGTAGAGCTGGAAGAGTAGCCCCGGGGAGAGATGCTGCTTGTGTTGCGGATATATCCTGGATGACAAAGAAAAAGCCCAAGTGAAGAAACCAGTACCTACATGGACAGTGCACTGGGTTTCACAGGTCTACCTGACCCAAAGATTGTTGACTATCACCCAACAGAGCTAAAGTAGCTTGGAATTCAAGTGGTTCATTTTAGCTTTTTTAACCTTCCTTTCTCTTTTCCCGTCAAGTTCACATTGCTAGCAGGCCCCCTCTGCTCTGCTTTCAAAGACAGTCAACATCCCTGACTCTCACCAAGGAGTTCATGGCTAATAGCAGCATCTAGAGACATCCCCCCAAGTCACATTTTACATAACACTGGAACCCCTTAATGGACATTCCTGGGAAAATCATTCTGTGGTCAAATAAAGCTTGCCAGATGTTTCATAATGATGACATTCTCAAAAATTTGTATACAAACAGCCTAGAGAATACATAATCCAGTGTAACTTTGTAATTTAGTGTTTTCCAAATTCAACTTACTGTAGCATCTTTTCTGATCAGTGGGGAAAAGGCAGTCTTAAAATATCTCAAGGGCCACTGGTATTCTGCAAATCACAGCTTTGAAACTGGTAGGACAAGGTTGTTACTGTGTCTTTGGTAGGGATAGGAAACATTTTTCATACAAAGAGTATTAGAAATTCATCTAAATGAGCTGCTTTTTATTGAGAACTTGGAAGCATTGGCAACTGAGTGGAATGGAGGAGGGGATGACGAATCCTCCCTAGCCTTCTGGAACCTCAATGGAGAAATATCACCTAATATATCATGAAATAGCCCCCTTTGGATAACTGTCTCTAAGGCTACTTAGGAAATGATCCAAATTTGAAAAACCAAAGGATAATATATGTCCTAACTACCCTTTTGTGGGAATTCACCCTGAGCATGAGAATGAGAAATTCTTTCACATTAGAGGCATGAAATTGGAAATAAAAATAGCCAAAGTTTAGAACATTATTAGGAACATCTACATACTTTTAAAAAGATTCTTTTCTTAGGTTAGCATATTAATAAAAATCAGCCTCAGTGACTGAAATTATTACATGATATCCTTTACATGTAAGAGCACAGCTAACTTTTGTTTGTATTTGAGATAACAAATAGAATTTACCCAAAAATTCAAGTCATTCTCCCATTATTATCAAAATTTATGTATAAGAGATTATAATGACAATAACTCAGCTTCCTTCCATTGTTCAATTTACTATCACAATAGATGTATAAACTATATTTAAATGGTGCCTATAAATGTAATTTTAGTAAGCATAAATCATTCTAAATTCATAGTTGTCCATCTCACCCTTATATGTCGCCAGGTAAGAAGATTACACATGGTATATAGAAAGCTTAGATGGTTCTTAGGAATGCACTATTATTTATTATCTATAATAATGTACTACCTACAAGGTTGAGATAATTCAATACATCGTTGCATTGCTTATCAGGGGGCACACTTTTTAACGGTGTATGAATCAAGCTTTAACTTCTTTCACTCCAACAGAAGGAATCTTTTAAATGGGTATTTTGTTTTTTTTTAGTTTTGACTCCGAGAAAGGTGGTACCTTGATTATTTCCCTGCGTTGACTCGGAGATGCTGACTCCAAGCTGACTGCCGTAAGAATTGATTCCCATCATGCCACTGTGAGCTGGAGAGCTGGAGAGAGCTGGGATCTGACTAGGGTTCCTGGGGACACTGTAGAGGGCTTCAGCAATGTCTGCAGCTCGCTTCAAAATGATATCCTACAAAATGGCAGGTTGAGGGGACAGAAATACAGTTCAAGGGTTAAGGTGCTTGCCTTGAACATGGCCAACCCCACTTTGATCCCTGGAAATATATTTGGTCCCTTGAGCACCACCAAGTCTGTCCCACCCCTCCCCGCAAAATGGCAGGTTGAGGTAAAAAGTTTATGATTATGAATAGGCTAGATAAACCCCAAAGTCAATACAGTGTAACAAGATGTGAGTTCAAAACCTGATTATTATGTGGTGTTCCATAGAGGGCCTCCACTAGATCTGCAGCTCTTTTCAACAGCATTTCCTAGAAAAGGGAAAATAAAGAGTTGAGTAGAAGAAAATGTTAAAAATGAATAAAAATTGTATTTAAAAATCAAACATCCAGACATCTCCCTAAAATGTAAATAACTAGATAAGGGGTTATACATTTAGTTTTATAGGTAGAATATAGCTGTACATATACATTCATCTATTATAATGTACAGGAAATTCATCTCCATAAATGACTCCATAAAGGTTGTGCTATCAAAACAAAAAATAGCCAAAGAAAGGATGGAATTGATTAAAAATTTTAGTGGTATATTAGGTTATTAAAAACTACTTTCAGACCATTCTTTTTAAAAAAGTTGGTAGTCTAATTAACCAAATATTCCTTAAATGATTGATGATCTGTGTGTCGCTGCTTGCCAAGGAGTTGTCCAGAGTACTGAAATTATCTTGGCAATGCCTTCTGTAAAATTTTATTCTAAGAAAGATGAATTATTTCAATAATACCCCCCACCATTCACTTTAACAGAGAGAATTAGTAATCAGTAATCCCTTCTCTCTCATTTTGTGCTTTCTACCTCCTGTTTTTTACAGCCTTTTAAATTGCTATTAACCTACTTTCCAGATATCATCTAATTTAATGGTGGGACTGGGGATTTTTCCAAGAGGAAGATAAAGGTGTGATATAGAGGCAATTGTGGTGCTAGAATTTTACTCACAGTATAGAAAAGTAATTTGTGTGCTTAAAATGAGAATGCAAATTTTTAAATTTAATAACTTCTAATGAATGAAATACCTAATACATTGCACATTTGAAAATAAAGTACACTAAAATAATGGACCATAGTCATGTAAGAATTATAATATGCAAGTTCATTTAAATGCACATCATAGAAATTTTATATAAGATAATTTTTGTATTAAATGTATATTTATATCTTATTTCAATAAATGCTTGAATATAGATTGAAGTGTGCTATAAATTAAGAGAAAATAAATTTTTACTTAAATTTATAGGAATTTATACTTTTAAACAACTCTACTATTAGTTATTCTCATAAAGTTGAAAATGTTTTCTAAGTTAAACTCAGAACACATCTGTTTTACAATTTTCAAATTTGTTCAGCAATTAATAATATGTTTTATAAGTTATTTTACCTAAAGCTTAGTCAAACTTCAACATTTAATTTAACTATGCAACTTAAATTGAAGAATTTATCTAAGTTTGCTGAATTTCTATAAAAAGTTTTTATATATCAATTTACAAAGCATTTTACCTTAGCTAATCGCTCTGGATCTCCAGGGTGCCTTGGAATGACTTTCTGTAATCTCTGGAAGCCATAATCAATGGTAGGTTCATTTAATGCTGAAAAACAAAAGTCTCTCTTTGAGTATATATTGATCATAAAGATAATCTTCTAATCAAGTCCAATTACAAATAAAAAGAAGGCTTATATTTTAGATCTATTGATTCATATTTTGTGTAATCAAGATTTTGGCTAATGACATTGGTTAATTCACACTTATATCTTTGGGATTCATGGTAGTTTAATACTTTTTCATTGAGTAATAAAAAGCAATTAAATCTGTACTAGATAGAAAATGATAATTTAAAAGGAAAATAAATTTGCCTAGTTTTATTATCAAGATTCAAATGTGTTATTTAAAATACAAGCACAGCGGGTAGGGCATTCGCCTTACAAGCGGCCAACATGGCCGACCTGAGTTCGATTCCTCCGCCCCTCTCGGAGAGCCCAGCAAGCTACCGAGAGTATTCGATATGCCAAACACAGTAACAACAAAGTCTCCAATGGAGACGTTACTGGGCCCGCTCGAGCAAATCGACGATCAACGGGAGGGCCTTTACCTTTACCTTTACCTTAATATGCAATTCATTGATCTTCTACGGTACAGTGAATAATGAGCTATTTATAACTCCTAAAATAATTTTGTTTCGGATGTTGTCTTTAGCACAGTGGGTAGGGCGTCTGCCTTGCACGTGACCAACCCAGGTTCTATTCCTCTGTCCCTTTCAGAGAGCCCAGCAAGCTACCGAGAGTATCCTGCCTGCACAGCAGAACCTGGCAAGCTCCCCGTGGTGTATTCGATATGCCAAAAACAGTAACAAGTCTCACAATGGAGACTGGTGCCCACTCGAGCAAATTGATGAACAATGGGACGACAGTGCTACAGTGCTACACGTTTGCTTTAAGATTCAAAATAATTTTATTTGTAAACAAAGTCAATCCTTCTAAAAACATTTTGAAACTATAACTTCAAGATTATCATAATTTATTGTTTCTTCCTTCAGTGAACATAAATTATTTTCTGCTCCTTCCAGATCTAAAATAATCTGTAATAAGTTATATCCCAGTTCCTAACGAAGACAAAAGCTTCCTTTAATTTTTTACATTCTTTTTCACTTTTTCCAATAAACTTATTTATAAAATACATTTCAAAAATTCACTTTTCTGAGTTATTCTTATATATTTATTCATACATACATATAGGCTTTCTATGAATTGTTCCCATAAATCTTATTCGTAAGCATAATATTCTTTCAGAATTTCCAATTATACTTCATTACAGCCACATTTGCTTATTGTCGGTCTCCAGCATATACTACAAATTCCACAGGAACAGAATTTATACTTGTTTTGTTTCAATGCTCCGTTGAAGACAGTGCTTGATATGTAGTAATGTCAGCAATTGGAAAATGCGTAAGCATATGAATGAATGAACAACACATTTCAACCATTTTACCAAAATTTTCAGTTTATTTCTTGTTTCTCCTCCTCAATTTTTAATAAGTCCATTGTTTAAACAAATTAAATTATTTTTATTTTAAAATCATATTTAATTATTATAGCTAAGGTAGTTACAATAGTATTAGGGTTTACAGTATTGATAAATGTTATTACCTCAAACCACCACCAAAGTGCTCAGAACTCCCCACCACTGGCCTTACACCACCTCTAGTCTGACCTTCATACTCCTCCAGAATCCCTGCCCACCCTGCACACTACTTGATAATTACTTTTGTGTTTAATGCCAAGGATTTTTTATTATTCAGGGCTGATTATTCTCTGTTCTGTTTTTATCCCACAAATGAGAGATCATCAGGAATTTGTCCTTCTTATAACTTATTTCAATTAACATGATACTACTCTCCAATTCAATACATGTTGCAGCACCTGTATGCAAAGTTTAAGATTTATAAGTTAATGTATAAAGTAAAGAAAAAGAAACAAAGAATAGAATGATAAGAACCTGCACTTTAGCAGCAAACATAAGAGTCTTTCCTTTTAATTATTTCCTCATGTTTTTAGCATAATAGCTTATGAGTATTTGGAGCTTTTAGTCTATCAGAGCAGCGCACTTTATGTAAACAAACTATAAAATTTTAACATAGAAGTAAAAATAAAATCATCCATGATATCACAATTTTTGAGATATCATTTTATGCTGTCACTGTCCTCCCATTGTTCATCGATTTGCTCGAGCGGGCCCAGTAACGTCTCCATTGTGAGACTTGTTGTTACTGTGTTTAGCATATCGAATACATCACGGGTAGCTTGCCAGGCTCTGCCGTGCGGGCGAGATACTCTTAGTAGCTTGCCGGGCTCTCCCAGAGGGGCGGAGGAATCGAACTTGGGTCGGCCGTGTTGGCTGCGTGCAAGGCAAACGCCCTACCTGCTGGAGCCCAGTTCGATTCCTCCGCCCCTCTGGGAGAGCCCGGCAAGCTACCGAGAGTATCTCGCCCGCACGGCAGAGTCTGGCAAGCTACCAGTGACGTATTCGATGTGCCAAACACAGTAACAACAAGTCTCACAACAGAGACGTTACTGGGCCCGCTCGAGCAAATCAATGAACAACGGGAGGACAGTGATAGTAACAGTGATATTTTATGCTAATAAACTTAAACATGCATACATACTTAAAATTATCCCGGGTATACTATTCACACTGCTTCATAACCTACTTCTCAACCCATTTAACAATATATAAAAAATTTTCCCCAGATTATTAAATATTATTTTATAATATTACTTAAAGTTCCTCCATATTTTCCTTCACATTTATTAAAATTTATTCTAAAATAGTCTCCTAATTTGAGGCTTTTAATGCTATCCTGATTTCTCAGTATTGCAAAAATCAGAGCAATAATTACTCTTTGTGCATTACTCTGTTTCAATTGGAAAATTCCAAGAATTAGAATTACAGTCTTTTAGAGTCAAATAACTCACTAAAATAAGGTTTAAATTTATACTCCCTCTAGCAATGAATTTGGTCATCTTAGTTAACATTTCTTTTCTCTTCAGTGAGGTTGAAGAGCTTTTTCTTATGCTTACTGATTTCTGTTACAAACTGCATAGAAATAATTTTTGCAAAATATGTACTACCATGATTTATCTTTATTTGTATTTTCCTGTTTAAAAATTAGATATTACATTAAGATTTCTAACACCCAGTCACCATGTTACAATATCATTTTCCAATCTATCCTTAGGCATTATATGTAGAAAGACTATCTCAACTCCAAGATCTGATAAATCCGTACATATACTCAAATATGCAGTATGTAGGTGTTTTTATATGCCTAAATGAATTTGGGGCTCATGCCCTGCAGTGCTCAGGGATTAATACTGGATTGGTGCTCAAGGATCACTCTTTGTGTTACTTAGAAGTCTGTATGAGGTATCAGGGATCAATCCTGGTCAGCCATGTGCAAGGCAAATCTCTAGCCTGGCTTAAATGACTTCTAAAACAAAATCATTGAACATATTTGGATTTTAATTTGTTGTATTAACCTTTAGAACACTATTTATTAAATGACAAACTTTTCATTCTGCGTCATTGATTATGTTTCTATTATGGTATAAGAATCACGTTCTTACGCTTATGATATGTTTAATAATTAACAGTTTAAATGTCTCATCCAGAATTATGAAATCTTTTAAAACTAAATTTGCTCAACTATTCTTACCTATTTGTTCTTCTGGATGAGCCTTGGAGTACTTAAAATTTTTTTGATTATATTAAATAACTAGATAAAAATATTAAGTGATCTCTAATATTCATAGTCCATGAATTTTATACCTCTCCCAATGTTTTATTTTTAATTTCTTGCTATATATTTCACTTTTTATTATTTTTGTGATTGTGATTACTCTCTCACTATATTTTTTAAGAGTTTTACTAGCATCTATAAGTACTCTTTTTCAAAGTAGGGTTTTTTCCCCTCATTGTTATTGGGTCATCCTTGGCAGTGGAAGGGTCCAGAGAGAACTGTCAGTTTTTATATACCCGTGCAGGCAGCATGTGAGAGAGTAGTGTGTAACTTTATGTGGTTTCATTATTAGGGGAATCAGCAAGTAAATATTAGTTCTTAATTCTGTTTCCACTATGAATTTCTATAAACTTCTGTTTGAAAACTGACTCATGGGTCTACTGTCAAAATTAAATGAAACAATTTATATAATGCTTTCAACTCAGTTCATAACACTAAAAAGACATTTAAGGGAAGGTAAATATGTTAGTTTAGCAACCAATCCCTTAGTTTAATCAATTTTTGCTATTAATTCTTAGGTTTTATGCACCCATGCTATCTAGATCATTTTTCTCCTTATTAAGAGAACATTCAATCCCATTTAGTTCTCTAATCCCTTTTTCATGCTACTAGATTTCACAAACAGTATCAAAAATGATTTTAAAAATAGTATGTATTCTTGATTATTTTCTTTTACATGTAAATGACACTACAGCATTACTATTTATAATAGCCAGGATATAGAAGATTCCATTGACAGATTTGAATTAAGATGATCTGGAATACTGTAATGTACAAAGAATAGTACTGAGTTAGGAAAAACATAAAATCTTGCCATTTGTGACAAGATGGGTGGAACTTGAGGGGATTACACTAAGTGAAGTCACAAGACAAATACTAGATGACTGCATTCATCTGTAGAATAGAAAGAAACAAGCAAAGGAACAGAGAAAAGCCAAACCAAAATAAGCTGTAGGATTCTAACTACAGAACCGAAGGGGTAAGAATGGAAGTAAAGGTTGGAGGGGAGACCCACTGTGGTAGAGAGTTATTGGTACTCTGGTGATTGACATGGTGATTTCATATATATATATATATATACACATATACATATATATGCCAGACACAGTAACAACAAAGTCTCCAATGGAGACGTTACTGGGCCCGCTCGAGCAAATCGATGATCAACGGGAGGGCCTTTACTTTACTTTACTTTACTTACATATATATACATATATATGCCCATATATATACATTCTTTAATAAAAGTTTTGAATGTGACTTGATAGAATTTTTTAAAATAACAGAATTGCTCC